CAAGCACGGGAATACATAGGAATCTGCCCCCTCCAAAGTACTCCCCCATTTTTATTTTTTACTTTTGAAGCAAGTTCCTCTTTGAAGCACATTCTTCCCCAATTTCAGCATATCGACGAGGTCGGAGAAAGATAAGTAGGACAAAACCGAGGTGGGACAGCACTTTTGGGGATTTTGGGAAAATTACCAGGTCGGAGAAAAGTAGGCCGGACAATCTAGCTGCACCGCTGACTCACCCCTTCGTCCCCTTCACCCCGTCTCGATCCATCGTTCAGCAGAGCAGTTCACCCCGCAGGTCGCCCAAAATCTGCCGGGTACCCCGGCGCCAGAAGACCTCTGCTCTGCCCCAGACAGAACACGCCACTTGCCCTCCGGTCCGCCCTGCCCGGCCGCTTCACTGCCCAGGGTGCCTTTACCTTGGGTCGATCGCCGGGCAGGAGGGAAAAGAGGCCAGGGCGAGGGCCAGGCCGGGGGTTGCGGGGCCGCCGGGGTCAGCCGGGCGACCCGGCCCGATGTGTCGGGCGACGGACGCGCAGCTGCCCGGCTGCCCCGCCCCCCTTCACCTCACCCCTTTCCCTCCCCCCGCGCCGCGGTGCGCCACCAGCGCGACACCAGGAAGTGCCCCGGGTCGTCGGTGTCGGCCCGGGAAGCTGGATAATCGATGGCACTTGCAAGGGGATCGCGATGGCCTCCTCTGGGAAGGAGGCTGAGAGGAGCCGAGCGCCGTGCGGTAGGGGGCGGCCCAGGCTATCATGGGCCTGCGCCAGATCTCTCTCCCACTCTCCCTCTGTCTCTCAGTCTCTCTCTCCCTCTCCGAACGTCAGTCTCTCCCTTCCCTTTGCCAGTGCGCCAGCTGCCCGATATCACGGGTGGCCGATCTGCGGCGTGGCGCAGCGTGGCGTGGGGTGTTGAGTCATTACGCAGGAGGAAGAGGTGCGGCAGGGTGAGGGGAGTAAGGGGGGGGGGGGAGCATCACAAGGCCTTTCAAACCCTTTCGCTGCAGAGATAGTTTGAGCGACGTGGGGCGTGTTTTACGTCCACCCCTCTCTCCCTCTGCGCGCTCACACCTGCCCCCCTCCCCCAGGCGGATACACCTGCCCCTCCCCTCTCCCTATTCATCCTCCCTCACTCCTGAACGGCTCTGTGTGTACAGCACGCAGGACTGGGCGGGCGAATAAAGCACGTTGTCGTGTTTTGCCCGTAAAGTTTGCACTTCAGTACCGCCTCCGCGGCGAGCCAGTGGATGGGAGGAGGGGGAGGAGGAGGGAGAGGAGAGAGATTTGAGATTTGTTAAGGCTATTGTGTGTGAGAGAGTGCGACGATGGGGAGTGCTGGGTAGTCGGGCGTGGCCTGAAAGCGTAGCCTGCGGTCGGCAGCCAACTTACGGACGGGTCGTTAGGGAATTTCAGACTTTC